TTCAGATGCCACCGGTCTCCTTGTTGTCTTTTTATTAAAAGAGAAAAAAGTTACCTTGAAGCAGCATTAACAGGGTAAAATGTTATTAAAGGGACAACAACTTGAAATCAGGTCAGTTTAATAAAACCGAAGTAATTTCTGACAATTTATCTGCCCTAAAGTCCCGCCATTTTTGAGGGGTTTGCTATGAGCCTTTTTTTTAAAAATTACTCTCTACTTTTTGCTGTGAGAAAGACACAAACAGAGGAAAAGCTGCTTAACTAATTGATTGTACAGGGGAAATAGTAAAAACAACTACACAAAGGCATTTTCTTTACATGTATTGGTAAACTGCTTTGTATTAGTAGTGATTCGTTCTCCCAGTTTACAAATACATATGAAGAAAATGCAGCATTTTACTTTGCTGTGTATCTTTCATAATTCAGCACTGAAATGTTACACCTACTTTGCAATTGGATACTCCCACATATACCCCCATCCTCCATGGAGTTGTACACACTGAGTAGCCACGCTGTTTTGGAGATCAGAAGCCCTAAAATAGCAAGAACAGAAGTTTGGTTTTGAAGCATTATGCTACTAAATGTATAAAGTAAGGTAGTTAAATGTTTGTTTTACTTACAAATTTTCTTACATATAATAGCCATATCCAGAATGTTAGGAATTCCCATGATGAACTGTGATGAAGTTTGGTCTTTTTATAAAGAGGACCAGAAAGAAGCAGTAATTGGCAAATATTTTAACTTTTAACATTCAAGAATTTGGCTTTTCTTATAAAACTTTCACAAAGGAGGGCTTTCAAATACAGACAAGTTTGTTTACATTTTGCTTATTCATGTTGTATATGCCAATCATCAAATATATTTATTTTTTAAAACAATGGGTGTTCTTCCCCTGTTGAATCCTTCATAATGTTACTTGTTCACAGCCTTTTTCCTTTGGCAACATACTAGGATACTCTCTGTACACCAATAATATCTGGTGATGCCTTTTTTTAAATGCTAAGAATCTCTATATTGCATTTTTTAATGTAAATGCTGACTAGTAAATGCTCCAAGTATTCCCCCCCCCACACACACACACACACACTTAGCTGTCTCTATGTTAATTTTTGTGGACTTTCCTAGCATAATTTGATACACTTTTTTATCCTAGACAACATGGGCTTTATAACTTGTTTCCTGCATTTTATCTTTTAAAAGACTGCATGCTTGCAGTTATATCAAAAACTCAAACAAATTTTATAAAACCGCTCAGGATTTTGACTGCACTTTGGGATCAAGCTAAAGGTAATAGCTAAGTCATGGAAGAGCATACTGCTCAAACAGGTAACTTCAACAGCAAAAAGAATATGAAAAATGATTAGTCAAGTTAATTTCTTTTTCATATAAGAGTACATAAAATTCTCTCTTCTCAAGCATGCTCCACTGCCAAGTTTTCTCTTGAATTATATTATACCACATTTAACCTTAAAATGATGTCTTGATGAAACTATCCATCCTAAATAGATTTTCAGATTAATTCAAATACTGTAACTGTATTATCACAATAAAACCTATACATCTTTCAACAGAAATCAGCAGTAGAGATGTATAATGCTTTCCAAAAATTTATCTCATTTAACTAAGCATCTACCTCAAAAATAGTAAATTGCAGTTAAATCTTACGAAAGAAAGAAAGAATATAAACTACTGTATAATCAAATGAAGTGCAGTATACTGGTACTAGAGAAAGAAGCAGTTTCTCTGTTCAAGCAATTTTTAAACCTATTCAAGCTCTGTGGAAAAGTTACAGAAATTCCATTACCTATATGGAGAAGGCCACTAAATATTATAGGTATAGGAATGTTGGTGATTTTGCAAGTTTCTTGCTTTGGAAAAATCAATTGATGAAAGTATTTACGCTGGCATTAGTTATATCCTCCTCCACAAAGCTGAATGCCTGTGCTTCTGTACCAGGTATTTCAACATAATCCTTGCCAAGAAACACTCAATCAAAATCCTTCCTTTTAATGTAAATGTTCTATCTGGATTCCCGTGGCATTTTATGTAGAATTTTTTTTTAAGGATTAAAACGTGTACATTTTCTGCAAATGTTCTGTCACTTTCTAGTCTTCATTTTTTCCCCAATTTTGCAGCTAACTTAATCTGGCGCCGGGACAAATGTATTACCTTAGATGTTTCTACTTGTCTAACTTTGTCTGGTTAAATGCAAGTTAATAAATAACTGCAAAAAAAGTTCCTGGGGCTTTTTCTGTCCAATTAAAAAATGGAACTATGAAAGGAAGAATAGCTCAATCTCAGCAACAGCAATAAAGAGCTAGCTAATTATTTCTTCCTGAAATCAGATAGTTCTCAGAAAATGGTTGGTTGAAATACCTAGCTCTTATGTCAGGATTTATCAAATAATATATCCAAAACTTATTTCATATGTTATAAATATTATGCAAGGGAATCCCAGTAAGATCAACCTTTGGTTTTTAAAGTTTTTCAGCTGTATAATTAAATGTTTTTCAAAAACTCAATAAAATAATTCTCAAGTGAAACTATTTAATTAAGTTGAATTTGGATCACCTTGCTCAAGAGACCTTTTTCCTAAAAGCCAACACTAAGTAACTAATTTTGAAATTATCTGATTAACCGATACCAATATTCAGTGTAAGTCTCTATGTATACCACATGCATCACTGTAGTTTGGGCTAATAAATTCTGATGTTAGATGCACACGATGTTTAATCATATATAATGTTACCTTTTGGGCTAAACATTTGGGTTGGTTACTTCAATGTTCTAATGTAGGAGTCCAGAAAAGTTCATACAAGTAACATTTTCAAATTGTTTTAACATGCATACCAGTATTTTGCCATGGAAGCTGTGGAGGAGTCCAGACGTTTCTCCTCATGCAGCTGGAGGCAGCTGTCCACAAATGTCCGGCCCACGCAAATCTGAGTTTTCAGTTCCGCTAACTTGTGCTGCACAGTCTGATTTTTGTTGGAAGGGGAAAATGTTTTGTATTTAAAAATCAGGAAATATTTTAAAACAAACCAGTGAAAGGAAAATATGCCAATAAGGTCTTTGCAAGGAAATGCTTTTTTGGGGGGGGTACAACTAATGTTGTGCATGGAGGAAACACCACCACAATAAAGGCTACCACCAATACAGGAGCTAGAGTTCTATAAAACAAAAAGCAGTTTAATTTCCATTTCTTTTAACATTTCACATTTCTGCCTGTCTAATCAAATAGGATTTGCTCAGAGTCAAGGCACCTGTGAATCAAAGAAAAGCTATAAATTCTGGTCTTTAACTCAAAGTCATGTGTTTTTCTTATTTAAAAATAAATAGATAACAGAAGTCTGAGTTCATAAATTCCTAGATAGTACAACATATTAGCCCTTTACTGAATGTTTTAGCAACTTGAGCTCCCCCTTCTGGTAAAAATGTGTTTCTATTCTTAACAGCCAGCAATTTCCCTAGAGAGACAAGGTGGGTGAGGGTAATATCTTCTATTGGACCAACTTCCTCACCCACCTTGTCTCTCTAATATCCTGGGATTGACAAGTACAATTATACTTGCATACAGTAATTTCCCTAGTTTATTAGCAGTTCCATAAAGTACTAACTATTTTCTTAAATGCAAAAATTATTTTAAAGGTATAATGTCACAATCCAAAAAACTTTTATTTATCAAGTATCTTTTATTAAAGAATAATTAAAATTCAAGACCACAGAGGGAGAAGAGAAGTTCAAAGAGATACGAGTAGGAATAACTGGATTCAAATGAACAAAGGAAAGTTTAAGACTGGCTGTCAGGGAAAGTTTCCTAACATTGAGATCTGTTATACTGTGGAAAAAGAAGAAGCCCACGTAAAGCTAGACTGGGCAAGAACTCAACTACGTGGTAGTAGTCCTTACACTGGCCGGGGGAATGAAAAATACAAGTCAACAAGTCTTTTCTCAAGTTCTTAAACTCCTGTATCAGTGGGCTTCATCATTTCCTTTATCCAAGCTACAGAAACAAATAAAAGACTGATTTCAAACCCTGTAATAAATGAATTAGGCAAGACATCAGGCGAATTAGAAAGCAGTCAGCTTTTGATTCCACACACAGTTTAGCAATCAGCCATGAAAGGAAACACAGAAAAGCACAGAGTGCATAATGTTTTGATAAAAATACTTTACTGGAGAGTGGTTGTCTTGCTTTAACGCTAACTCTGCACTAAAACTATAGTTTTTTAAAAGAGGTATTTCAATAGAGCTACGTATAGACATTGGAAATGCTAAATCACACCTGGAAATTTTATGAATTGATACTTAAGATGTCTTACTTCTAAGGGCCCAATCCTGCTCCTGCTGAAATCAATGGTAGATCTGCCTTTGAGATAACAGGAAAAGCATCAGGACTCAAAACTGGGAATCTTGATGTTTTTAGTTAGATCTCAAGGGCACATTTCAATTAACAAAAAGGCTACCAATCTCCAACCTGTATAATTCATCCCATTTCTATGCATCACAAACACTGGAACTTGGCCAACATTCTCATTAAAATGTTTAACATTTTTTAAATGTTTAACATTGTTTTCAGAATAACCCCCTACCTAGGGTTTTTACACTGAAACTCTTAAGATCACTCCTGTATTAAGAAAAAAATAAGCAGTACCTTCTGAAAATTGCTACATTAGCATGTAGAATCCCAGAGTCTGTATTTACTAGAATATGGTTAACAAAAGTTACCCTGATTTAAAAAAAATAAAAAAGATACTGTGAGAAGCAGAGCCTGTTTTCATGATTCTGAACAAGGAGTAGACTAGCGATAGTCTCAAAACTCACACCTAACTCTCATTGATGGCAGCAAGAATAATATGCACTGGACCATATATAATATGGACCATATACAACTTCTTATGTGGAGTCACTTGTGCATTTAGTTGCCTTGCAGCTGAGGAATCATTTACAATATCCATAAAACTGAAGACTATATAAAATAATTATTTGCTTAACACTTCACAGGCATTAAGACAACAAATTCCCTGCTGTGAAAAACTTGCATAGTATCAATCTCAGGTAGGCCCTGATCCTGCAATGTGTTGTGCACAGGTGGACCCCCATGCCTGGAAGTCCACCCAAGTCAACAGGACTCAGCTCACCTGCAGAGGTCCATCCATGACAATGCACTGTAGGATAAGAGCCTTAGACAGTAAAATGCAATTTTATAAACAAAACTATTTTCACTATATATTCATAAACCAGGTCAGCAATTCACTGTTGACTTCAAATCTGAAAGAAGCAGCAGCAATGTTATCTCAAGAGCTCTTAGTCATGTTTAATTTAAAACTGAACATGAGAGAGAAAGAGGAGTCATTCCAGATACTTGCTCCTAATCCAACTTTAGAACCTTTGAAAACAGTCCAGTGGTTTTGCTTGCCTAACACCTCTAATGAAATGAAAATTACATACAAGAGACAGACAAAAAGAAGGATTTCTGTCTCTTTTTCTTGGTTTAAGCTCACCTGTAAATGTGCAATTGTTTTCCCAAAAGCTTTTCTTTGTTTAACATAGTTTCTTGTTTCTTCGAACATGAATTCACAGCTGGCAAGTGCCATATCAGCAATAAACAGTCTTTCCTTGGAGAAAGAAGTGATAAAGAATCAGAGTTCTTATCCAATGCAACTAATCTCAAATTTCTCTACACAAACATAGATACAAACATAGGTTGGGAAACAAAAGTTTAGTTATGTCTGTTAGTGTTAGTTTTGTTCTGTTCCATTAAGTTTTTAACTAGACATATTGCATAATTGAAAATATTGTCACTCTAATGAACACAATTGTCTTGGTGGAACCCAATTTTAAAAGTTCTTAGTGACATTCCAAAGTTGCATAAACAGGACTACAGAAAAAAAAAAATCTAAAAGTGAAATGTAATACTCCTTTGACTTAATGGAAACAATTTGGCTTTAATCTTTCAGTTCAAATAAAACAGTATGTAAACAAGTTTTAGAAGGACACTGTCTAAATCAGAGGTTCTCAAACTGTGGTGTGTGGACCACCAGTGGTTCGCGAGCTCCATTCCAGTGGTCCACAGATAGTTCCCTCTAAGGTGCGCGCCTGGGCAACTGCACACAAGAGAATGAAGGACCACCCATCTAATTAGTGGAGCCGCACAGGTGTGGCTCCACTAATTAGGTGCCTGGATCCTGGAGAAGATGCACATGTAAGGTGAGGTGGTGGCCTTGGGGGGGAATACGGGGTAGGTGGGCAGGGGGCAGTGGGGTGAGAAGAGGAGCTGGGGAAATTTGGAATGTGCAGGGCTGCGGCAACCAGACAAAAAGAGGTGACTTTCCCCAGCTCCGGGGCTGCGGCTGCCGGGGAGAGACAGCCCTCCTTCCCCCAGCCTCAGCTCTGTGATGGAGGAGACACTCACATCCTTCCCAGCCCCAACTTGGGGGCTGCCGCGGCAGGGGCGAGAGGGCACATCCATCGCATTTGAAAGGTAAGACTACTGATATTAAAATGAGTTGTGTGCTTTTATTTGTAGAACAAAAAAGTGTTAATTATTAAGGGTTTTTTTCATATAGCGCTTTTATCCAAAGCGCTTTACAATAGTTAGCTAACGGTACAAAAAACATTTGGAAAGATCATTAAGTTGTCCACCGAGACCCTCATCAATTTTCAAGTGGTCCGCGAAAAAAAAGTTTGAGAACCACTGGTCTAAATACATTTAAAAGTTTATAATTTTCTCCCCATTCTCATAAACTATAAAAAGATTTAAACTACGATCCATTTCCTGCAGAAGTGTTTTTTGCTTAACCATGTAAATAGTCTGGTTCACTATTGTAGGGGTGTTCATGAGCACTGCGGCTCTGTGTTTTTTCAAACCACTGAAATATTTTCTTTGAAAGAACTAAATGTATGGAATTTTCACAGTGGAAGAGTAGGTCACATATTTCACATATAGTGTAAAATTAAGTAAACATGATTTTTATTAGATGATGCAACCATAAAGTCATAGTTTATGCTTTATGACAAAGCAGAGTCATGGTTTTGGCACCTGAGTTTCCCCTCTGCTCTTCCAAACCTGCATTAACTGGTCAACTATGTTCAGTTCTACTAAGACGACAAGCCACTTCAGGCTCTACAAAATGCTTCCACTTTTCAGTTTTTTATTAAATAGATTGAGAAAGTAGTTTATCTATAACAGTGGTTCTCAAACTTTTGTCCTGGTGACCCCTTTCACATAGCAAGCCTCTGAGTGCGACCCACCCTTATAAATTAAAAACACTTTTAAATATATTTAACACCATTATAAATGGTGGAGGCAAAGCGGGGTTTGGGGTGGAGGCTGACAACTCGCAACCCGCCATGTAATAACCTCACGACCCCCTGAGGGGTCCTGACCCCCAGTTTGAGAACCCCTGATCTATAACATATTTCCACTGGTAGAAGAGTTGCAGGTGTGCATTTTGCATTAGCCATTAGCGCAAAGAAAAGTCAACTCTGCACGAAGAGGCTTATAGAGGGCAAAAAGAGCATATTTAAAACTACTGAGCTTAGTGTATAAGTGTTAAGATAATACCACAGTTGTTTGTAGCATTCAATTTTTAAATTCTGTTCTAATCTTGTGTTCTTCACACCAGTGCTATTGACTGAGAGATCTGGTCTTGAAATCGGATATAAAAACTTGATACACGTAATATCCTTTCTGTAGCAATTATTATACCATCCCTTACTAAAATAGTACCTTAACATGATATCATAATAAAATTATTTGAATAGAAACTATTAGATTGCAAGCTATTTCACTGATATTCCAAGATGCTTCACTTTGATTTGCAGTGCAGAATTCCTACCACTAAAAAACAAAAGTATAAGCAAACTGTGGTTGTAGGCATTCTACCTCTGAAACTGAGGCGTCTCACCATAATCCATAAACTGCAGGTGGCGGTTCCAAGCAAAAACCAAAATAAAGTCTTTGTGCTTTTCCTGCACACAGTGTGGGTTTGTGTCAGTCTTACCTGAGGGAGCTCTGCCATCAAATAGTAGAACCCTTTGTTCTCTTGTCCAAGCAAGGCACTGGCTGGCAAACGTACATCCTCAAAAAACAGCTCTGCTGTGTCCTAAAAATGGTTTTAAATAAAATATCTGATGTCAAACTCTCTCTTCCAAAGATTTTCCTCTTATCCAGTTCCTAACTTCTACAGCCCAAATTACATATATTCACTGGAGGCTGTTTGCTTTCCATATAAATTTCACTCAAATGCAACCCACCATTGCAGTCTAATTTAGAATATCCTGCTCTTGCCGTTAAAACTGTGAACTGAAGTATTACTACAGCTACATTTGATCTTTACTGAAAGTACCCCAGGGAATAACAAGTCCTTTTACACTGCCTCAAAGTCCATCACATGGTAAGGCTCGTATGACTTACTTGTGCTTTCAGGCCTATTTTTTCCAGCTTGCGTCCTTTGATGAATCCTTTCATTCCATTCTCCACCAGAAAAAGGCTGATCCCATGAGCAGGGGAGCGGGCCTCACGGTTTGTAACAGCAACCACAATCACTAAATCACTCATCCAGCCATTAGTGATGAATACCTGTAAGAAAACCAAGATGGAATAATGCTGCATGTTAGCTGGCAGGTAGCTAGGAAGATTATAAAGTAGTAGTACACGAACTTTCACACACTTCTACAAGTAAACAGTATATAAAAGATTAAAGCTGTAAGTAAGCGTCCAAAAAGTTTAAAAAGTCCAGATGCATAAAAAACCAAAGTGCTCCAGAACAGTCTATAAAGGAGAGATGGGTTCAAGCGGCATAATTCGGATCTGGATTGCAAACTAACACCCCAAAGTTAAAGGGTGTTGGGGTCTGAGGTTCTGGTCGACTCTAACCTATTATAAAGACAGAGGACAGATTTTAAAAAAAAAAGGAACCAAATTTGTATTTGTTTATTTTGAATATTCCTAAAGTTTAAATTCAGATTTTTAATTCAATCTCTATTATAAAGATTCCTTTTATGAACAAGCATATCAACTAACATGCAGATGACCTCTTTCAAAAGTTAAAATGGCAAGGTATAAAATGGAAAATCATTGGGAGATTCTCCATTACTATAGCAAATCTCTATAATTCTGTACAATATGCTGTCTGCTCACATTTAATATTGTACGAAACACTGATGCATGCTACAGTGGGTGGAAACGTACAGTTGCCTTCACTGTATCGTATGTTTTAAGTCAAATTCTGATATCACGACAGGCAGAACAGACACAGACATGCCAAGTATAAAAATTAGATTCAGATTCCTAACCATGCCAACCAAAAAAATGACTGAACTGCCTTGTCTTGCCTAGGTTCAGGCACGCAACCATTACGTTTATCTATCTAAACAGTATCTTTTACATACTTATGGACAAACACTTACGGTTTTATTATTTTATTACTGCAGTGACCAAAAGCCACAATCTGGACAAGGCCCCACTGTACTAGGCTCTGCAAACACATAGATTTAGCCCATAAATATGCCTAAAAGTCTAAAAGTAATAGGCAATTCACAGCAGGAAGAATCTTTGAAATATACTGAAATCAAAATACTATTACTACTTTGTGTTTTCATCCAAAGATTTCAAAGCATTTTTACCCAGACAGGCAAGAATCATCACCATCACTTTACAAATAGGGAAACTGAGGGCCCAAGGTGGTATAGAAATTTTCTCAAAGTAAAAAAAAGAGTTAGTGGAAGAGTTAGCAACAGAATTGAAGTCTCTTGGTCTCTCTTTTTAACCACTAGACCATGTGGTCACCTATGATTCATCATTTTTAAAACAAAGTTTTACTAAACCAACCATCCCAATACTCAAAAAAATCAAGTACCAGGACAGAGCTGTAACTCTAAGAGGTTTTTAGTTTTAAAAGTTTTCAACTAACAGCAGTGTCATTTAAAAGTTTTTAGAATGACAATCCCCTATTTCAATCCTCTTAATTCTTTGTATTAGGGGTTAAATGAGATGGGTACCCTTATAGCAGCTCAATATGTGGTTGTCATCTAATATGGAATTTATCCCATACACTGAACAATACAGTCACTGGATAAAGATTCCATTTTTGTGTTGAAATAGTAAAGGAGTAAAGGTTTTAGTTTGTTTCCCTTGACCGACAGGGGAACGCATAGCAGGGTGGCTATTCTGCTACCAACTCCACTGAACTGAGAAACAGTCTGGCCTTTGGCTATATTGTGCAGGCTGACTATACCAGTCAAAGAAAAGAGCAAAATCTTATGATCGGGCTGCTTTTTTGTTCTCCAATAAAAGCTGCAAAGAAAAGAGTCTGCTCTGCTGATTGCCCCATAAATTGTCAGCATCATAAGCTGGATAGCTGGGTAACATGAATTCTTCTATAAGATGTAACTCGTAGAAAAGGAAAAACAAAGGGGTAGAGACACTAAGAGCTGGGAAAGCAGCTGTAGAATAAAGTAAATTCTCTCACTAACTGGATGTATTCAGTACCTAAGCACCATAAATCAGAGCACATCCATTCACATACCTTACTTCCATTGAGAATCCAATCACTTCCATCCTTTTTTGCATACGTTCGTACACCCTGCAAATCACTAAAATTGATTGGCGAGAAAAGAAAGTTATTTAAGAGAACAATCCAGCAGTGGCATGAAGTTCACATTTAAAAAATAATCCTAGTATAAAATAATGAAGAACATAGAGCCTACAACTCCTTGTGGATAGTGCTATGTACAACAGTAGTCAAAAGCTCAAATAGGATTCAGGGATGTATTAAAAAGGAGCTAGAGAATTATGGAAACCACAAGTGTGTTATGTATACGAATGATGAACCTCTGCATCTTCAGTACAGCACATGGTTCTACTTCACTTTCAAAGGGACATACCTGCTCACAGCCGAAGTACCACGTGCACAAATAATATCTATTAGCTCAGCAGCATCTTATGTCGACATGGCCCATCAATTTAGGGCTGCCCCAGAAAGCAGATATCAGCCGCTCAGCTTGGCACCCTCCACGTATAGTTAGAGGTCAGCTTATGGTTCTCAAGCAAAGAGGCTTTTGCTGTTTCTAGGACCAGTGGTGAGACAGTATAGAAGGTGCAGCTCCCTATTGTACTCCCATCTGCTTAGCAGATTGAAGAGAATGATCCTGAATCAGTAATCTACCCAATAATCCTACTGTCTGCCCTTATACTATATGAATGAGAGTACAGGAAAGAGAACTCTATTCTATACAGGATTCAGGGACAAGGAAATAGGCCCTCTTGCCAAATTCAGACAGCATTATATGGACTAAGTCAAGCCTCCTTTACTGAGTTATTACATTTCACATTAAAGAATGTCCATGCAACAAGTAGGCTAGTGGCTGTTTATGCAGAATCTAAAACAAATACAAAACCCTATTTGTCCTAGGGCTGATGGCAAGATCATGGGTTTGGAACAGGCATGCGGAAATGACAAAGCTGTAAAACAGCAATCTATAATTAAAGGTTATTTCTGTGGTTCTACCTATTCTGGGCTACTGCCTAATCAGTAAGATGGCCATGTAACTATGAAACTCGGAGTTTTTACACAGCGAGATTAGGTAAGCAACATGTATGTAAAGCCCATCTGTTGTCCTTTTCAGCTTACCTGCCAGCCCCAGGTTCTGTCATGGCTATAGCGCCAATACATTTGCCTGCAGACATTTCAGGGATAAACCGTTCAATCTGATCTTTTGAGCCATAGTTTGCGATGTAGGGCATGACAATATCTGAATGAAGGCTGAATCCTGGGCCAGTACAATTAACATACATCCTTGAAGAGAAAAGAATGAAAGTAAACTTTAGAAGAAAGTGTGACAGTGATTGATCTATTGAATTTTACACTGTTAAAACCAGAGAACCAAAACTGAAAGAAATGTACACTAAAAGCTGTCAAAATGACACACACAATTTTAACTTGTTACATCCATGTTCTTACTTATTTATAGAATGTACTTTCACTGTCAGACTATTGGATCACCCACCAGTCTAAAGAGAACATTTCCCCTCCTCTCCTGGCAGTCCTAAATATATAATACTATGATATTTATTATTTAAAAAAAAATCATCTGAAATATCTAAAGTAGGGGGTACTTATGCATGTCTAAATTATCACTTCTGTGGAAGGAAAAGACTTACTGTCTGTGAACACACTCTCCTTACAATAGGAATCAGGAAATCAGATGAACAAATACAATCTTATAACGGTACCAATTTGATTCTTGCTGCAGTGTCTTGTACTTACTGCTCCTCCCAGACCACTGCTGAAGAGAGCAGATCCCCTCCAATGCCACCATGTTTTTCCAATATATTGACACCAAGCAGTCCCTGTTGTCCAGCTTTTTCCCAGAGCTCCCTGCTCACCTGGCCAGCCTTCTCCCATCTGCAAATGATACAGGAACGAGAAGTTAGTGGAATTCCCCTCCTACTATTTGTGATTTTCCACAGCTGCTGCTTTACACCATAAAATCTGCTACCAAGTTTCAATGCTTAAGAATAAGACTTTCAGTCTCAGAAACCAACCTACAACACAGGAGGTAACATAAAACAGGCATGTGTGTTTTGCCAGCTGGGGAGAGGTAGGCAACTTGGACTCATGCAACATACTTAGGATTTGTAGTCTCCAAGTCTATGGATTAATGATTAAGTTGCCACCACAGAATTACATGCAGTATGGTAGGTGGTAAAAAGCTAATTTCTGCTTCCAATGTATAACCTGCAATTTCCTTAACTTTTATACCTGATAAATTTGTGAACAATACCAAAGATAAGTTGATTTTTGTGGTACTTTGGTAAATTGACAGCAGAGGAGCTTCTGGTGATAGTCCTTAGATTTTAACTCGGAAGGAGAATTAGAGACTCATGGCAGAAGTTCCCTATCTGTGGAACTTTCTCACTCAGGTTGTTTGCTAGAGCCAGAGTTGCACTGCATCCTGAAGGCCACCCAAGGCTCATCTTTTCAGCCACACAGACTAGTTTGGAGGCCTTTTATCAGCTGCAATTGAAATGGATGTAAAGTGTAAGCAACAAACACTTCACTGAGCAAGCAATTTGAGAAAATACTAGAAGAAATATCAAAGAAACAGAGCTTTGCAATAGCAAGATATATTACACTATAAAACACTGCATGTGCTAGAAGACTTAATGAGATCCACACCTTCCTACTTCTTTGGAAGATACTTTTCCTTGGATTATTAGTTTATATTTGAAGGATGAATCCATCTTCACTGAGAGCGCATACATGAGTCCTTAGAGCAGAGGTCTCCAAACTGTGAGGCACGGAGGAACGTTCAGGGGTGTGTGGCAGGGTAAGGCCAGGCCCCACAGGGGCCAGGGAGGGAGTGCCACCCAGCCCCACTCTTGGCCCTGGCCCCGGCCCCTGCCTCCCGGCTGCTACCCAGTGCCCGGCCACGGCCCCCAACCTCCACTCCAGACCCCAGCCTCGGCCCCCAGCCCTAACTCCAGCCCCAGGCCCTGGCCCCCAGCCCAGCCGCGGCCCCACTCCAAGCTGCAGCTCGCAACCATGGCTCTATGAGGAGAGACAGATTACATTATAGGTAAGGGGGGGGGTGCAAGGTAAAAAGTTTGGGATCACTGCCTGAGAGAGACACGCATGGTTGGGCTGTCCCACTGGCGCTTTATCCAGGCAGTTAAAACTTCTCTTCAATCCCACTCCCATCTCAGATAGCCCATGTAAGTTTCTCTCCCAAACACTCCCTGTGTTTTTCCATTCACTCCGAACTCCATTCCTTCCAGGCAACATTTGCGATGAGCTCTCATACCTCCAAATCAGCCCTAAAAAAATTATGTCTTCCACAAAGCCTGTGTTTGCCAACATACACACTCACCCCTCCATGTCTGCCCAGCCACTTACTATGTGTTACCATTACACCCATTTGTTCCTTTACAGTCGGATTTTTCAAAAGCATCTAAAATGCTGCTGGCGCACAAGTACAATTGGCCTTATATTCTGGGGGGGGGGGGAGGAGGAGGAGGAGGAGGAGGAAGGATGTTACTAACTTGAGGTAAAATCCTAGGGAAAACAAGGCAGTAGATAAATTTTACACAAGCTAAAGACTTGTCTTCCCTAGGATTTTACCATGCATTAGCTAGCTTGAGTTAAGAATGCACTTTTTCCCCCAATGCAGACACAGCCTTTGAAAACCAATAGTCTTAAGTCACTTAGTGTGTGATTAGATGTTGATAGATGTTTAGCTGCATGTGTGTGGTTTCTTTGTGTGCTGCCCCAGCCCTGCGCAGACAGCTGGCATGGCAGGCCTCAAGCAAACCACCCAATGAGCACAAGATCCGTTAAGGGACAAAGGCACCCAGCCAGGCTTATTGTCGACAAAGCCCGGTACTAGTATCCTGCAGACTCCACCAGACCACTAATACACGTATGCCCGTAACAATGGACCAGCTCAGTGAACGGCGGGACTTTCCACTCCTCCCTAGGCCAGACAAAGATACTCCCTCTGAGATACATCTTTATACCCCAATACAAACAAGTTAGTACTGATCCTCTGACATAGATAGTTACTGCCCTGTGACATGGCTAGCTATTACCTATTACCTTGTACATGTTGGTTCGATCAAAACAGTTTTATTTCGTACTGTTATCCTGACCATATCTCTTAGGAGGCGTCAGTGTGTTCCTGTTATCCTTGGGGAATGTTTTTGTACCATACTTGATATCAGGATGTTCTGGTACCACTTGATATCTGGATATGTTTGTGTGAGTACTTTCTGACTAGCACTTCTTAGGAATGTGTATTTTTGCAATATTAGCCCGGTTACCAAATTCTGCGAGCAGCTCCTGCCTCATACCAGGCCTCTGATACAAGGGCTTATGTCTCAGGCTCTCTTCCTACTACAAGGTGATTTTGAAAATCAGACACCAAGCTCTTCAGGGCAGAGACTTTGTGTATTAAGAACGTAAAAGTTACTATACTGGGTCAGACCATGGTCCATCTCGCCCAGTATCCAGTCTCTGACAGAAGCCTGTACCAGAGCTTCAGCAGGAATATACTGAACAGGGCAATTATGGAGTGATCCACACCTGATTTCTACTCCTGACTTCTGACAGTCAGAGATTTAGGGTTGCCCCTAGCATTGGATTGCATCCCTACCCATCCTGGATAATGGCCATTGATGGATCTATCCTCCAGGAACTTATCCAGTTCTTTCTGAACTATGTTACACTTTTGCCCATCACAACATCCCACGTCAGTAAGTTCCACAGGTTAGTTGTGCCTTGTGTAAAAAAAGTACTTTCTTGTTTGCACTAAATCAGCTGCCTATTAATTTCATCAGGTGATGACTGGTTTTTGTATTGTATGAAAGGGTAAATAAAACTTCTCTATACACTTTTTCCACATTCTTCATGATTTTATAGACCTCTATCATACCCCCCCTCCCCAGTCGTCCCTTTTCTAAGCTGACTAGTCCTTATCTTTATAGTCTTTCCTCATATGGAAGCCATTCCATACCCTGGATCATCTTTGTTGCCCTTCTCTGAACCTTTTCCAGTTCCACTATATCGTTTTTGAGATGGGGTGACCAGAACTGGATACAGTATTCAAAGTGTGGGTACACCATGAATTTATATAGTGGTATTATTATATTTTGTCTTATTTTCTATCCCTTTCCTATAGTTACTAACATACTGTTAGCCTTTTTGACCACTACTGCGCGTTGACTGGAAGTTTTCAGAGAACTATCCAAGGTGACTCCAAGATCTCTTTCTTGGGTGGCAACAGCTAATTTAGAATCCATTAAAATCTATAGTTGGGATTATTTTTTCCCCAATGTGCATTACTTTGCACTTAACTTTGAATTTCATATGCCATTTTGTTGTCCAGCCACCCAGTTTTGTGATATCCCTCTAACTCCTCACAGTCTGCTTTGGACTTGACTAATTTTGTATTGTCTGCAAACTTTGCCACTAACTGTTCACCCGCTTTTCCAGATCACTAATTAATTATTACACTACTGGAAAGTGCCACGTGCATCTATAGTTTTACATAAGTAATGAATAATAGCTGAAGGTTACAGGGATTGGCATATAAGTTTTAAAGGGACATTGTCACCTTGAAATCTAGTCAGCTGCAAAAAATAATTAAAGTAGTGTCAGATTCTACACCTGTCATAATTCCAGATTTTTTTTTTTTCCCTTTTTTGTTTGGCTTTACAGACATTTTCCTACTTTATAAGTGTTTCTCTTTCCCCTGTTGCTCTGTGAAAAGATCCATGCTAACAACAGAAGGAAACTGACTGACTTTACAGAGAAGGGGAACGTGACTACCCATAAAGAACTCTCAAACGTACAAAGTAAATTTTAGAAAAATCTTTCTTCTAATCTCTTTCAGTTATAGTAGCAATAAGTCCTATTTATAGCAGTAAGAAGTGAAAATTATTTCAGACACGAGAATGATTTTAAGTTGATGGTGTTTTATAGTCTCTATTTGGTTTGGTTGAATGGCATTGCTCAGTAACTATAAATGGAAGAAGAGAAGGTATATTAAGCCCCAAGGGAAGGGATCATCTTTTTGTTTGTTTGTTTGTGTTTGTACAGGGCTTATCTCAGTGGGATACTGGTATATGAGTAAGACCCCTTGATGCTATGGTAATACAAATAAATAATAATTGGTTGTGAAAGTTTGTAGCATTCTCTCTTATGTTTATCTTCTGGAGACTGTACAGAAACAGAACAATTATTACAGACATAAGAGAGAAGTTCCAGGTGGAGGAGTTGAAGAGAGGAGAGGGAAGGGATGGAATAAATGTGAAAAGGTGAAATATATTAAATTCACCTTTTTATTGTTTGCTTTCCCAGTCCAGAACTAATACAGTTGCTTAAATCTTTAGTTGGAAGATGGTCCTTGTTGGAGAATGGGACAATATATGGTTTTGTAGACATGCACTGTAGCCCTAGAAAGAACGATCACCATCTCTGAAGTACAGCTACCATTCTGAGCTAACTGGCTAAATTTAAGTGGAAGAACACCATACCATATTTCATCGCATTACCCTCACTACCAGAATTAAAAACAACTATTTGATATTAACGTGCTACGTCTCAATTATCTTGAAATTAATTCTGAAATGAAACTGCTCTCCTAGATGTAGAATGACAACCATAACTCTTCGCAAAATAATGGGTTTCAAAACTGGAATTTGGACTAGGAGATTACAAAACAAAAATACACTAAGAATCATGCCTGAAACAAGCTAGCTACACCAAATATAGCAATGGAACTGTCAGGGGGATGAATAGATCAGGGGACTGGTAACTGAAATCTTTCATTTCTAGACTGCTGTTCCAGCCCTGGCTGGGAGCAATGCAAAATCATTACCATCTGGTGTCTCGGTTGTGACCTCTAGAAGAGCTAATTTTAGGACCAGTCTACACACAAAATTGCACTAAAATAACAATCTCTTTTAATACACATTTTGTTATAACGTGCATGTGTAGACACTTATTTCAACTAAAAGTGTCCTATTTTTACTGAGCTAAAACAGGGTTGTTGTTTCTTTAACCAACTTCATCCTATTTTAATTTAGCTATTAAAACAATAACAAAAACCCCACTTTAACTCAGTCAGAATAGAACACTTTTACTCTGAAGTAAGAGTGCCCATACACAGACTTGCACAGAAATAAAAGATGTGAATTAAAACTAAGTTAGCTGTTTTGGTAAGTCCACTTTTCAGGGGACAGATAGCCACAACATAAAAACCAATACAACTAACACCTTTAGACTGTAAACTCTTTGGAGCAGGAGCAGTCTTCTTGTTCTCGGTTTGTACAGTGTCTAGGATCCTGGTCCATGACTGGGATTCCTAGGCACTACTACAATGCAAATAATAAACAGTGATAATACTGAGAGCCTTAGCAAAGCTAACAAAGAGATTAAACTACCTTTTTATCCCTAGAGGCAAGGCAAACTTCTACAGAAGTTTGCATTTTATTGTCTGTGCTGCATTTGCTCCTGTAAATAATGAGCTCCTAGCTAACCAACCTGGCATCCTTTCGTGAGAAATACAAAAAGCACTTTCTTTTGTTTTGCTTTACAAATATAACCATGTACTTTTTTTCTTCCTTCAAACATGTGATGTAGGAGATATGCAAACCAAGATATATATTATATACAGGCCTTAATACAATTTTTTTAAAATTAAAATAAACTCTACAGTTTGCTTGTTATATTCAGAATATCATTCCCAGAGAGTTCTGTGAAAAAAGCCTGGAATTAGTAGGCAACATAAAATATCCAAACTATATCTTACTCTGCATGGTAAGGAAGCACTGCTTCCTGGAAGAATTTCCTCACACTTTCCCTGAAGATATCATGATCTGAAGAGAAGATCCTTCGAGTTCCAATATCCATTAACGTTTTAGCAGAAGACGTTTCTTGACGTACCAACTCATGATTTTCAGTCTGCAGATACCTAAAAAGAGACAGAGCATTTGTAAGCAATGCTACCTAACACTTTTTTAAACAGTGAATACCTATCTTGGTCAAATACTTGTGGGCACAATGAATGGCACTAGCCTTCCAAAGGAAGGTAGGAGCAGAAGGGAACTCCTGGGTCATCGAGTACAGTCTCCTGGCATTGCAGGCAAACCAGCATATAATTCTGTTCATAAATTTTCAACACAGAAGCCTAATAGACATGGACATTTGTCCATTATGTTACTTGACATGATTGACTACCAGAAAAAAAACCCAAGATCGGTACAGCAAGAGGTATTTCAGGTCAACTTTGACATGCATTCGGCACAGCTGCACAGACAGGCTTGAATGAACCATTCCAAAAAACACACTGACGCAGGGCTAAGGTCCAGCAGCAGTAGTCCCTCACTTTCAAATTCAATCAATACCATCATCCTTCAAAAAAAAAAAAATACAAATAAAACTAAACAGTGAAACTCTTCTGCTTCTTTTGCCACCCATGCTCAGGGTCTAACTGATCATCCTATCTGGGGTCGGGAAGGAATTTTTCTTGGGGTCAGATTGGCAGAGACCCTGGGGTTTTGGGGTTTTTTTGCCTTCCTCTGCAGCATGGGGCACAGGTCACTTGCAGGTTTAAACTAGTGTAAATGGTGAATTCTCTGTAACTTGAAGTCTTTAAATCATGATTTGACCATGTCAGTAACTCAGCTAGAGGATAGGGGTCTAGTACAGGAGCAGGTGAGGTTGTGGCCTGCAATTTGCAGGAGGTCAGACTAGATGATCATGATGGTCCCCCCTTCTGACCTTAAAGTTGATGAGTCTAGTTGGGTTATGGAGCAGGAGCCATCCCCTCTTCCCTCTCTGACAAACAGAGCTCTAAAAATAAGAGGCATCATCTTTTTAAAAAGATAAAAATGAAACAGCTCTAAACCTCAGCAGATAAACCCACAACCACAAATACATTTTAAAAAGTAGAGACAAGGTGGGTGAGGAAAGATCTTTTATTGGACCAACTTCTGCTGGAAAGAGAAACAAGTTTTTGAGCGACACAGAGCTCTTCTTCCGGTCTGGGAAAGGTACTTAGAGCTAAATACAAGGTGTTTTTGTCTCTTATTCCCTTTGTGAGCTCACTTAGGAGCATAGTGATTGTCTGGTTTCACCCACATAGTTGTTATGAGGTGTTATTAGAAAGGAAACAACCCCCTGCCCAACCTCCCCAGGCGCTCGTCATCAGAAGCAAGCTCCCCACAGACCAGGACCCACCAACTCAAAGTGACACCAGACCCTGGCAGAACAACAGATGCAAAACTGCAGACATATCTCCACTGCTACAATGATCAACACCCTCCCCCGACACGCCTTTCAAGATCCATGGATCCTACACATGCCTATTGCAACACATGGTATACCTCATCCATTGCAGTAAATGTCCCAGTAACAACTACGTGGATGAATCAGATAATCACTGTGTTCTCAAATGAACTCACATAGGAAAATTATAAAAGACAAACACACCCTGTCACCTGTGCGTTAACACTTTTCACAAAGTGATCACTCTATAGCTGACCTGTCAGTCCTCGTCTCAAAGGAAACCTGCACAACACTTTCAAAAGATGAGCTTGAGAGCTTAAATTCATAACTCTGCTAGATACTAAAATTTCGTGGACTGAACAGACACACTGGATTTATGGCTTTTTACAACAATCTGTAACCCACTACCCTCCCCCCCTTTTGTCCTATGACTGCAGAGGTGTTAATGGGGCAGTCCACCTTGAACGGTCCCTTAGACCAGCAGTTCTCAACCAGGGCCCCCTGGGGGGGCCATGAGCAAGTTTCAGGGGTCCACCAAGCAGGGCCAGGATTAGACTCACTGGGGCCCAGGTCAGAAAGCTGAAGCCCCACTGCATGGGTCTGAAGCCAGAGGCCTTGAGCCCCACCACCCAGGGCTGAAGCCAAAGCAGTTTAGCTTCACGGGAGGCCCCAAGCAATTATCCTGTTTCCTACCCCATAACACATGCCCTGGCTTTTATATGCAGAAAACCAGTTGTGCCACAGGTGGGCTGTGAAGTTTTTATAGCATGTGTGGGGGAGGGAGAGAGGCAGGACTCAGAAAGAAAAAGGTTGAGAACCCCTGCCTTAGACTATGTGCTAACTACCTATTCTAAGTTTCAGAGTAGCAGCCGTGTTAGTCTGTATCCGCAAAAAGAACAGGAGTACTTGTGGCACCTTAGAGACTAAAATTTATTAGAGCATAAGCTTTCGTGGGCTACAGCCCACTTCTTCGGATGCATATAGAATGGAACATATATTGAGGAGATATATATACACACATACAGAGAGCATGAACAGGTGGGAGTTGTCTTACCAACTCTGAGAGGCCAATTAAGTAACACCTACATGCCTCCAGCTTCCATCCAGGACACACAACACAATCCATTGTCTACAGCCAAGCTCTAAGATATAATCGCATTTGCTCCAATCCCTCAGACAGAGACAAGCACCTACAAGATCTCTATCAAGCATTCTTAAAACTACAATACCCACCTGCTGAAGTAAAAAAACAGATTGACAGAGCCAGACGAGTACCCAGAAGTCATCTCCTACGAGACAGGCCCAACAAAGAAAATAATAGAACACCACTAGCTGTCACCTTCAGCCCCCAGCTAAAACCTCTCCAGCGCATCATCAAAGATCTACAACCTATCCTGAAAGATGATCCCTCACTCTCACAGATCTTGGGAGACAGACCTGTCCTCGCTTACAGACAACCCCCCAACCTAAAGCAAATACTCACCAGCAACCACACATCACTGAACAAAACCACTGACCCAGGAACCTATCCTTGTAACAAAACCCGATGCCAACTCTGTCCACATATCTATTCAAGTGACATCATCATAGGACCTAATCTCATCAGCCATACCATCAGGGGCTCGTTCACCTGCACATCTACCAATGTGATATATGCCATGTGCCAGCAATACCGCTCTGCCATGTACATTGGCCAAACCGGACAGTCGCTACGCAAAAGAATTAATGGACACAAATCAGACATCAGGAATCACAATACTCAAAAACCAGTGGGAGAACACTTTAACCTGTCTGGTCATTCAACGACAGACCTGCGGGTGGCTATCTTACAACAGAAAAACTTCAAAAACAGACTCCAACGAGAGACTGCTGAGCTGGA